TGCCCTAAAATTTCCCAAATTGAGCAATTTACTATTTTTGGGCTAAATGTGGCTAAAAATTGTTAATTCATGTACTAAATGTGTTCTGTCGAAAAGTTTGAGGATGAAATGGGTCTTTAACCAAAAGTTTAGGAACAAAAAGTGGATTTTTCCCATAAAAAATTGGACAGAAATCATCCAATTTAACGGTTATACATGTAATGTCAATATTGTCCCTATATAAATGAACTCTCTATAGTTTGTCAAATATTCAAATTAACTCCCTCCAGTTTAAAAATTACATTATAACTTCCTATGATTTTGATTAAATTGAAAATTGAATGGAAAGTATCTTATGTAGAATAGGGGCAATATTGATATTTCACACACAACCGTTAGATTTGATGTTTTCTCTCCAATTTTCAATTTAATCGAAACTACAGGGAGTTATAATGTAACTTTCCAAATCAGAGGGAGTTAAATTGAATATTTGTTAAATCACTGGGAATTTTTTGGCATTTTACCCTTAAAAAAAATAAAAGAGAAGACTGAGCTGGAGGAACTATAAGGTAATCAAGTGAAGCTTGGAACTGGATAGATGAACTTGACTAGAGATTTAATTTGATATTATGGTAAACTTGGGTTATTCTTTGGCAATTTCATATAAATTATATTGTATTACTAAAAACTTGATTTCAACAAGGATTTTAGGATTTTTAAAATATGCAAATTTTATGATTTAAGTTTTTTGAACCCTGGCGAAAACTAGTCAAGTGGCTAGTCCTCCTACTTTTAATTGGACTGGGTTGGGTCGTTACAGTTAAAACAAAGGATCTATTTGAAATATAAGCTGCTGTCAATGATTCTAATTTTCAAAAACCAAAATTATTAGAATCTCAAAAGCAGGGTTTGGCTAACAAGGGTTTAATGGGCATTCATAAAGAGGGATTTCATGTATTAATTCTCTAAAAATTTGTAGTTAATTCGAGAAAGTGTTCTAAATGCAGTTGTGTATGTGATTGTGTGTATTGGTATAATAATTTTGGTATTAGCACGTGCCCATTGGGTATTCGTTAAAAGAACTTAAAAAAAAAACAACCTAAAAGATTGAAAGTAAAAGAAATTGAAAACATCAGATAATATATTTTCTAAAATCAAGAAACTAAAAACAGGTTCAAAAGATTAGTTGAGAAGAGTCCCCTATGCTAAAGTTTTCTACATGCAAATATTAGAATCTCTATCTGGCTTAATCACGTATTGCCCTCTTGTAATTAGAATCAGGTGGCAAATTAGCCCCACCCCCTGTGTATTCATAAACTTACAAATTGCTCCTATAAAATACTAAGAAAATATATGTTTCTACCAAAAGACAATTATGCCCTCTTTATGAGACATTGTTAGTCAATCCTTTCTCTTCTTTTTTTCTTCTTCATCTTTTTTCCTATTATATATAGATTTTTTTTTTACTTCATCGACCATGATATATAAATTTTAAGAATAATGTACCAATGAATTTCTTTCTGTGGTTTAACGTATTTTGCTATTTTCTTGTAAACACTTTCTTTTGATGGGTAAATGTATTTGTCATTATTTAGTTACATAAAATATTTAACTATCACAAATTATTATATGAAATGAAAGTGTATATTTAACAAAAAATCTGAAATAGTTTCTATTTTTCTTTAACAAATTCTTTTTGTGTGTTAATTACTGAAAAAATTTTGATGATGCACTAGTATGCATTAATTATTAATAAGATGTTTATGATGCACTAAGTGTTAATATAAATAGAAATTATATAAAGCACTATTACTAAATATACACCTTTTAGTTTCTTATACTGATTTATGATAATTAAATATTCAACAAAAAAATAACTATATATGACTAAGTGTTTCTGATGGTGTCAAGATCAATACTAGAACGGATCTTTTTATGTTTCTGATGGTGTTTCTGAACTTGGTAATTTTTCAGTTATGTACAATATACAATTGAAAAGAAAAACAAGGATTAGGGATTCTACATTTCATCATATCTTTCCATTTTTCTACTCCTATTTTTTTATTGGTTATATATTATTGTAAATTTTTTAGACCTTTTGCTTTTTTGATCATGTTATCGCGTAACTTTAGTATATTACTTAGGGTTTGGTTGGGGCGCAAATGGAGATAGTTTCAAATGTCAATTTTTTGGCAAGAACAAAACTAATTTGAGAAAGTATCTAAATATAGGGGATAGGAGATAATTGATTGTGAGCGTGCACATTCATATGATAAATTACGTGTAATTTAGGTTTCTTAATGAATCCTGCAAAGGCACTTGTTAGAAAAATCCTATTATTACTCATAGGAATCAATTTATCTTGTCTAACTAATCATTCCTTTAAAAAAAAACTCCAGTAATTATTTTTTTTCTCTGTTTCAAATAATTTCATTACAACTAATTATACGTCAATGCCAAGTCCATTTAACTTTTGATTTTGACAAGTTATCTATTAACTTACCTTTTAAACTTCCTTAAAAAATTTAAAAGATTGCCTCTCAAGTTAGTTTCCTTTTTTTCCAATTTTTATTTTTGAGATATTAAAAAATTAACCTATCCATTATTTATTATAAACTTTTTTTTGCAAGTAAATTAAAATTTAAATGCAATTACAGTATATGCTTGTCACCTTTAGATTGTAAAGATTATCAATATTTTCTTCTTCTCGCCCTCCCCTATTAATCTATCCCTATCAAACATTTCCCCTGTCCATTCTCCAATTTATAAAATTGAAAAAACTATATACCATATCTCTACTTCTCTCATATGATATTCTACCACCACCAGGTAAATATTTTGATCAAAATTGGACCATGGGTTAAGGTTTATTGAAAGCTAATTATTAATTTGAGCATGAGTCAACTATTTTTATTGTGTTTAGTTTTAATGTTTGTACTTTAAATTTTATAAAGTTTATCAATTTAGTTCCTTTTTATGAATATTTGTTCTAAACATACTTTCCAAAATTGGAAAATTTTCAATGCAAAAGCACAAGTAAACAACTAGATATTACAAATCCTTCAATCTAACTTATCTTAGTGTACCTGACTAATTTTAATTTTATATATTAGATATTGCATATCATTTTTACAATTTGACTTATTTTAACTTTTAGATCTAGGATACATCTTTTCTCCAATGGTAGGTTCTAGTAGTTACTCACTAAAAATTATTTATTTACTTATTTAAATAAATATTTGGGTTTTCAAAATTTGTGTTGCTGTATCCAATGGTACAGTTCAAAATGATCCCATGCAAATGCATAGGAAAAAAACTAGTTTGAGAAGAATATGTACCTAGCATTCACTTAGAATGTAGTGTGCAAAATTGAAAAGCGGATGAAAAACCAAAAACTTAAGGATTAGTTTAAGGATTAGTTAAAACTGTTTTCTATACGTACTATGGAAACAAAACATTACACTTACACAAGAGATACAAAGCTAGCCCTTTGCTGACTTGCAAATTTTATGTATCTTACTTCATAGTAAACCTAGTTCACGTGTATATATTATTAGGTTTGGATGCATGATAATAAATTCAAAATCTAAAATTGTATATATGTGATGTATTTAATCATGATAATATACATACTATCAGTGTAATTAATTTAAAATTTAAAGAATAAAGTGGTTAGTAGACTGTAAATTATTGTAATTATAAAATTTTGGTCGTTCATCTATTCTTTTTTAAATTGCCCCTCAACAATAAAAAAGTCAAATTTAGATATTTCTGTTCATTTTAACCGTTTGAATTGACATAATGAAGCTCCCGTGACATGCATGCAAGGTCATTTTTATTCTATCAATAATATTAGTGACGTTATTGAAAGCGTCTAAGCAAAGTTTTGGGCATCTATTTGTACATTATAGCAAATGGGGAAATATAACATAACTAAAAAATAATAATAAAGGAATCAATTGCACTTTTTGTAAACTTTTTTTGGGCCTCGTAGACTTCTTGTGTTTCTTCATTTATTTGTCTACGCACGCTCACCATGCACCAGGTATCATTTACTTACCAAATCTTGTGACATTCAATCTTTTTGACTTGATTTTTTTCTGTTGATCATAATTTTGGCTTCACATTTGGCAGAAAGAAATTAGCCCAAAAAGGGCAAAAAACGAGCAGGAATTAAAAAAAAAAAGCCATTGCCTACATCTCTTTTTACTCACATCAAAGCTTAAATATGATAAAAAAAATCATAGCAGAATAATCAGCTCAAAATGGAGAGACACAAGGGAAGCATTAGCATGTATGTGCACTAACTAGAAATCACAAGCAAAATACCCACCAAAGAACCATTTCATCAACTTTGGACTTGGCCCTTTTGATTCATTTCATTTGAGTTGTTTTGTTCTAAATTATTGTTGCAATTTTGGTCAACTAAATGATAGGGTTATTTTGGTATAAAAAATGCTTGATTTTGAGTCCATTTTGCACATGTTATGGAGTGATATTAGCACAATGACTCAGTTGTAATTTTTTTTGAGAGTAAATCTTATATATACTAACAGTGTATATACACCATTATCATTGGATTCATGATACATGTGCAAAAGTTGAATTTTCAATTTAAATTTTACATAATTGTCATTCATTTAAAATTGATAGTATATACATTGTTAGTATATGAATGGTTAATTTTTTTTTAAAATAAATCTTGTATACACTAACAGTGTTAGCGCTATCATCATTGGATTCATGATATATGCAATGTAAAAGTTGAATTTCAAATTTAAATTTTGTATAATTGTCATTTATCAAGGCTGACAGTGTATACATAAATAGCTCAAACAGAAGAAAACTTTAAAAGCTCAAGTGTTTTATTGTTGAGGGGGTAATTTCTGACTAAAATATAGATATAGGGTAAAACTTTTACAATGAAAATAGTTGAGAGGCCCCAACCTAATTTACCCAAGTTTGAAACATTTCTTAACTGCCCTTTAAACTCGAACCAATCCGAAATGCTTTACGTGGATCCAAATACGGCATCGCCCACCCTATTCTTGCTTCATTCTCCGACCCACCCGCCTCTATAGCTAGCTACTGGCGCCTCATGTTCGTTACATTTCTAACTGAATCACAATTAGATTAACTAACGGCGTCGTCTCATTTCCTCCCGTTTAAGATTTTGGCGGGAATTGAAAATTGGGATGAATTGACCGAATCACAAATATGTCTTCTAGCAGCAGCAATTTGAAGGTGAAATTTGAATTTTTCTAGTTTTTTTTTGGTTGTTCATATGAATTTAAATTCTAGCTAAGCATTTTGTTCCTTAATTTCACTGTAACTGTTATTTGATATCCTATAATTATCACTGAAGGAGCATCTTGCTTTATACTTGTATTAACTTTTTCATTGGCAATTTTCCTATTTTTTGTGATTATTTACGGTTTTTAAGAAGGAGATTTATGCATCTTATTTTGGTAATGAAGTATTGCAAAGGATGCAATTGTTACTGGTACTCATTTTATTGGGGAGATGTTTGAGCATAAGTCTGGATTTTGCTTAGAAATAATGCTGCTGGTGAAGGTTTGTTAATTGTTAGTGCGATAGATGGATCAAATTGGATGTGACACGACGATGTATCTTGCGTGAACTTTGGGGAAGTAGTAATGTTCTGCTTTTTGTTGTGATACAGGTGATCTGAGAAGTGGAAGGCAGCAAAGGACCTCTAGCGACAGCTAATGCCGTGTTAAAAAAAATGCTCCCTAGGCGATGGCTCAGCCAGTTGGTGAAATGATAGATCATGGGAATGATGAATCTCGAGAAGGTAATGTGATATAGTATTGCATTTCTCTTATTAATATTATAGTCAAAGACTAAGATGTAATTGTACTGATGCATCTTATGCTTGTGTGGAGTATTTAGCTGGGTGAATGAAATGAATGAGGTGATTTCTTCTTGGCCGAGTTAGCATGTCATTTATTTGAGCTTTTTGAGTGGGTTGGGGTAGGGGAAGGATGCACCATGATGATGGGATTGTGCAATTTAATACGATCAGAAGTCCATCTCAAGGTTGGTTTGTTTTGTGGCTAGGGCTGAAATTCTGGTTTGCTTACAGTCATACACACAATCTATGGTGCCATTGCATCGAAAAGCTCTTTGATCAGGTGAAAAAGCCTCAAAATGTGAGTGTTCTTACCCATTATCTTCTAGACTATCAAGTATACCTGAAACACTTTTTAAAGGTGTCTGTTGTGTTGAAAATTTGGAAGTTGATAAGATTGAATTAAATTAAGAAAGGCCTCACATGGGGTACCTCCTGTGGCTTCTTTTTCTAGGTGAAGAATTTGTATGCATTGGCTTAATGCTTCTGCCTTCTAAAGAAGCTGAGCTATCTAGTTTAGCCGTTGAAATTGAGGACATATCATTCTGGATGACTGGTTGAAATGAGTCTCATGATTTTTCTTCACAGCTGTATTATGGTGTTTCAGATATTTTTGCGGGAAAATTTTCGAATTTGATGCAAGCTGTGGTCCCGCTCTGTTAAGTCCTTATTTATTTTCTTAATTGTCAGGTGAATAAATTTCTCGCCATTGCTTTTTTTATGATTATTCCATCTTTCATTGATCAAGTCTCTTACTTTGACAGTAGTTTGGGCTCCTATTCTCATTGACTTGAATCAGCAAGTATTTATTAGATGTCCACTTAGTCTTGGTAAATAGTTCTTGCATGTTTTAGCAAAATTGAATGAGAATGTGCTAAAAGATGTGTGGTCTGTTGAAAGTTAAAACTGAACAATGGCTATTGTCTCATTCATCACTGGGTGACAAGAATATGATTGTATTGCACATTTTGAACAGAAAATGATGGTCGGGTATCTCTCTTTTATGTGCCTTATCTTAAGCTTAGTCTTTCTCTTTTATGGTATTTTTCCAGATTCTTGGCCCTAAGCTGGTTTTCTTTTACTTGCATCAAACATGGGCGACTCTGATTCTTGAAGACATGACTTGTGCATGATGCAGAAGTTAATCTTTTCAATTATTTTGTTTTAAGGGATTTTATGAAATACCTTTCTTCGCAGTTCATTTTATTGCATCAGTATACACAAACAGCTAAAGTTTCGCAATTTCTGGAATTATGTATGGACATAAGCCAACAGATCAATTTTCCTTTTGACGTTATGTGGTGTTGTTATTAGTCTGATTCCACCAAAATTAATGGCCTTGTTCATGTGTATTTTTTTTCTATTTTTAAGGAATAAATGAGAAGAAGAAGAACCAAAGGAAATGGTTCAATTCAAATGCGAACAACTGTCTTTGCCATTTTTTTGGATTCCACTGATTTAGTTTTAAAAAATAGAATAATGAGATCGCATTTAACGAATGCGAACTTGTTTTACACAATAGAAGAACACACACCCAATCAGTCGTTCAAAATTATAGCTGCAACTGTTTCCCCAAATTAAACCCTAGCTCTCCATTCTTCCAATCCACCAAATCTTTCCAGGTTCATCCAGCAATTTCTTCACAAAAGAACAATCCACTCTCTTCACATCCACTCCGGTTACTCTGTTTCTCTTCCTTGATGTTGTTCTTTTCCCTTCAAAGTAGAATGTTGTGTGAGAAAATGGGATAAAAAGGATTGAGTGGAATTCTGCTCAGGTTTTGTTATTGGATTTAATCTCTACTGTCTTGACTGTAGATCCGACCCAACTTATCTCTGGAAATTTCGGCTTCTTTGTTTCCCTAATTCTGTGAGGTAACTTTTCTCTCTCTCTCTCTCTCTCTTTTCGTTTTTTCAAGTCCAATGTCTATTCTTATCATGCATGCTTTGAGATGATGAAGAAATCTGATTATGATTTAGTAATTAGTAGCTATGTCAATTGGTATCAACTTTTTGAAGCGAATGATAATGGAATTTGAACTTTTTTTCTGTTAAGGTTTTTTGGCATCCCTATACGAAGTTGTCATAGTATGTGCCATTCTAGGCACTAGTTTGGCAACAATTGAAAATTGCAGGTCCTGCAGATGCAGATTCAAGTTGAGTATTCCGAGATTTATTTATTTTTTGGCCTATGTCACAAGATGTTTGAAAATCTGAAATGGGAAGACATAATGGACTAGATTACTTTCTGTTGTTTATAGATCACTGGTCCATGCAAGCTAGAGAGACCCATTTGATTTGATCACATCATTTTACACGGGTATAATGGTGAAAGCTTTTGAGGATGCTTTTCATCTAGCAGAATGGTAAAGCCTTCTAGCTATGTTATTCACCCACTCAAGCCTTTGAATATATCAAACTCAGGGCTGGTCTGCATTTTTTGAGCTACCAATAAGCACGAAATTCATATAATTGCTGGTCTTATAGTTGCACAGCAAAGTCAAGTTGTAGTATGCCTAGGGTCAGGTAGAGTAGTATGCCTGTATTTATTTATTTTGTATATATGGCTAATTTGTTACAAAAGCAATTCAGGGACTATAGTAGCATCACTCAAAGTCACAGACATGTCTAAAACTCTCCATACATGTCCAAACTTTTAAGTATACCTACAAATCAGTAAGTGAAAATACCTACAAATCAGGGAGAACGCAACAAACGAGCAATGGGTTGAGAAAATAGGTAGCTAGTTACAGTCTGTAATACCTGCAAGATCTCATGGTCTATCAAGGTTAGACTAGCAGTGGGCTGAAACAATGAATTATGGTGCTGTGTTGTACGTTGAGGAGGAAATTGCCCAGTTCCTCATGAGTTGTTGAATGCTTCTCGTTCATGCTTCACACTAATTTTTCTTGGTACTCATTGGATTATGCTGTAACTAATATTTCTTGGTATTCATTGGCTTATGTGATTGTTGTGGTTTAATCCAAATGGGTTATGGCCTCATTTGATGTCTTTGGAATGATGAATACTTTTCCATCAAGGGTCTGTTCAGTTAGATGTAAAATACGTTCATTAGGATATAATTGTTACAATTTATGCGTTTGCACTCTGTCACTAGATTTTGGATGACCCGTACTTTCAGCATCCAGTTTCTAACATATAAATTGGTGAAATAACATATAAATTCTGCTGGCAAGATTTTGCATTGATTTCTGATTGATTCCATGATTGAATGCAGGGTTCGATCACCTATGTTGTTAAGACCCATATTACCTTCTGGCTGTGAATCCAATGTTGGCCATTGCGGAGCCATTGGTACCAGAGATCCTGTGAACTTGGGTGGTTATGATGTGGAACCTGCTTTGTTTTTAGCTCTTTGTGCTGTTGGCTTGCTTTGTCGTAATTACACATTTCCTGCATAACCCTTTCACAATTGATTATCCACTTAAATAGCATAATATGACTATTGTTTTCCTTCTGCAGTACTTCCTGAGGCAGCCTTTCACTCTGCATCAGGTAGGGAAAAAGTTGCTACTGTGAACTACCTGGAGGAAATCTCGTGCAGTTAACAAGTACATATCTAAAAATACATTTCATGCTGGCTGTTGTTCATTGGGGTGCATCCATATCATAGAGGTTTGAAGCTAATAGATATGCTCGTCAACACCTTAGGGTGGTGGAGTTGATTGGATTTCATAGCTGTGCAGATGAACTTAATCTTACCATCCGCTTGCTTCAAATTGCTGCGAACCTCTTCAGATTACTTTCTTACCATCCGCTTGCTTCAGGTCCTGGGGTAACCTGAAGGGGACTGAACCACCACCGGACCAGACGGGTATGGATTTTTTAAGCAAGGTCACATTTAATTGTGGCAAATTGGTGGGAAGCAAGGTTTGAACCCTTGCCACCCACCCCACCAAGTCTTAATGCATTGGTGGTGGCCAAGATTGCTGTGAACCTCAGAAGAATGGTTTTACAGTCTCATTCTGAAGAATTGAAAGAATATCATTTGTCCAGGAAGCTTGTTGCAAGATGTTTGAAAAACTTTACCTCCAGTAGTTGAGCTGGTGGTTTGCTGAATCATGACTTTTTCAGTCACAAACTAGGGAACCAAAATCACTTGTTATATTAATAATGCTGAAACGTTGGAACTGTATTGCTTTCAACTATGCAAAGTTCTATTTACTGCTTGACTGTAATATGTTTGCCTGATGATGAGATGAAACAGAGACTTTTGGAGTTTACATTGCTTAGCAATGCTTGAATGGATTGTCATCGATTCCTCGTATGATAGTACAGGAAACAAGTAAGTTGGAATCTGATAGAACGAATGATGTATTTCTTGATTTCTTTGTTGCTACCTATAAAGGATGAACCTATTATGGCACTTGAATTTTAATGGACGACGAAAGACAAGAATAATCCACATTGTTCAGGTTCGCAGCACTTGATAAAAATAAATAAATAAATAAATAAAAAATAAAAATAAAAAACTACATTAGACTTTTGCATTTTGAAATTTTTTTGATGTTACTTCAATCATGTAACAATGACTGAGAGAAGATGCATGGTATAAAACTTGCATGTAGGTGGCCTCGTATTTGTAGAATTGGAAATTTCTCAGGAAGCCTCACACATCACATTAGGTCTCAATTAAACTAGTTGAATATCTAAAAAGATCATTGAGAAAGCTATTCAAGATCATTGGTTTAAAACAAAAAAAAAAAAAAAAAAAAATTCGGGTTAAAAGTCAGCATTCCACCTAGTAAATAGCAGCTTCATGGTTCTTGAAATTGCTCTGCATCATCAGTTTGGGGTTGATTGGTGACGAACTGGACGACATTATGGTGTAGGAAGCCAGTAAGTTTGGGATTGATTGGTGAAGAAGTGGATGACCTTATGGCCTAGGAAGAAGCCAGAAAGGTGGTCTCTTACGTCCAAAAAAATCTTGATAGATAAATTCCAAACTTCCATCCTCCAAGTTGAAGATGCTGCTATCTAGACCCTCGTACCAAGTACCATCATAAACTTGATGCCAATTATCATCAGTAAAATAAACCGAATTCTTCTTGCAGCATGAGAAATCCCGCGTGGAAAGTAACGTTGATTGGTTTCCACCCACAAATATCACCCCGTCGCCTAAGTTTCCTAAAGGAATCCATTCTTGCCTATCCAAATTCAGCGTGTAGACATAAATCATCTCCGTCCAATATGGATGAGTCTCAATGGCGCCATCATCGTAGTCAGGCTCAAAGGGAATGTCAATGTTCAGGACACCATTATCATCGTAGTAACCGGGAATGACCATGCTATCATCAGGTTCAACATGCTGACCAATGCCACCAAGTTGAACAACATTTTGACCAATGCCATCAAGTTCAACATATTGACCAATGCACCTCTTTGCAAGCAAAATCTCATGCTTTGAAGGTATAATATATAGTGTGTTAAATACCTTGTATTCACAATCCGGTTCCGGTGGTTGGATGCTATGGGGTGGTAGAGCCGGAGTGATTCTCATCTTTTTGATGGGAGTGCTGCCGCTGCTGAAATCCCACATGTCAACAGAACCTTTGTTTGATACAGCAAATATGCAATCTTTATAACAATTCAAATCCTGATATACTCCTCCTTCATCATCAAAACAAGGAAAATTCTTCCATTCAGCCTCTCCACACATAAGATAAGCAACAAGAGTTGGGAAACATCCATAAATTACTGCAATTCCATACTTTTCACTACTACTTATGAGGGGGTCAGAATAATCGTCATCGTCGGTAGCTCCAAAAACAATTGCTTTCTTAATCCAGTGGTAGCATGACTTGCTGCAGGTTGGAAAAGAAGGCAGATGGATTTTGAGGTCCAGGTGGGGATTATACACGAGTAACCTTCCTTCATCATTCTTGTTACATCTAATATTTGCTAAAAAGAGCAGCCATCCTCCATTAAATGATCCAACACAGTGGAATTCACGTGGAATAACATTAGGTTTAACTTGTTCGTATGACTTGTCATGCAGGCTAAAGAAGTAATCTGTTTTGTCTTCTGTCCGAGACCAATAGTTGATAGATTCCTCGTCAGGATCATCAGGTAGAAAGAGCAAGGGTGAACGAGGTAGAAAGAGAGAGGGTGAGAATCGCAACCTCTTCATCAAGCGAGATTTGATGTGAGCTTTTGCTACTGAACGCCAACAACTGCATACGGATCGTAGGTGGAGTATGTCAACAACCGGCAAGAGATCGAAGATTAATTCCCAAACATCATCATTCAAACAACACCAATGTTTCCCGACATGCCTCATCCCTTGGGTTGAGGAAGAGCTAGAATATTCAATTGTCATCATTGGAGAAATCGATCGAGCGGTAAACAAAACCACCCTATTAATTTCTTCTTTCAAACAAAAACCAAACTCAGGCTAAACAAAATTCCTTTAGGAAAAAACAGAAAAAGAATTTCGGCTGATTTTTCTACACAACAACAATATAGTACCAACTGATCATGACTGTGATGGACAAAAGGAAAAAAAAAACAGAGTGCCAACTTTGTCGATGGCTAGAGCCAACTTCAGCTTTTATAATTTTCATAACCGACACAAGCATAGCGGGGTAGGATCGATACCATGGCAACAAACTTACCAAATCATAGCAGGGATCGGATGCACCAACAGGATTGGTTTTCGTTTCTACGTCTTGCAGCGTTAGGAAAGCCTATATTGTCATATATTGTAGAATGTACGCTAAATAAGTAGTAAGGGAGGAGGGGAAGGACGGAGGACGTGTAAATGATAGCGTAAGAAAATATAAACCAAGCTAATTAGTATTTAGTTAAATTATTGGCCATGTGCTGTTAGTTTATTGATTAGTATTGTTAGTTAAGATGAGGATGGTAATGTGGAATAAAATTTCAGGTCACATTGGTCTCGGACTCTTGGCAGAATTATTAGTAGTAGTAAACGTATCCAATTTGATTCCAATTTTGAAAAAAACAAGTAAAGACTCCAATTTAAAGTATAATACTTTAGTTAGCCATACTAATAGAGGACAAAATAGCAGAACAGTCACAAGTGGGTGCAAACTCTATATCTACATGAATTTGAGAAAGGGTCTAGAATGGTTAAGTCAAAATGCTTCCAACTTCTCATTCTTTTTTTAAATAGAAATTTGAATTTTTATAATTGTTATATATCCTTTCACGCCTTTTGAATTTAAAAAGTAAAAAGTGGCTCCACTTATATAAGAATTTGGTTTGAAGGCTATTAATGTGAAGGTAAATAAAAAGGAAACATCACCAAACATATTAAAAGTAAAAAAGTACCCTTCAACTTAGTAATTCTAATTAAAAAGACAAATTATATAGAAAACAAAAAGGAAATAATATTCATTGGTCATAGATTTCAAAAATCAAGAATGGTACCATTCACAAAACCTAAATTATATAATCACTAAATAAAAAACGAAGTACTACTAGCCTTCCAATATGAAAATATATAGAACATTTGATCCTAAATTGTATCTACCTAATTTGTATATATCTGATCCAAATTCATATTATTTTTATATTATAAATTTTGATATATGGGCATAAATTTTAATCTATGTTATAAATTTAGTATAAAATTTTTTTAGCCTTTTTCATATACTTTATCCTATACTACAATATATAAATCTATATTATTATTTTAAATAAAAATATAAATCCACGCATAGTACTGATCAAACTGCTAGTTAACTAAATTTAGAGATACAGAATGCTCCTGCCTAATCTAACGTCAGTAACTTGAATGAAGTGCTTTTTGTTTGTTTGGTAGTGGAAAGATGTAGCAAAAGCGAAAAGAAAATAAAAATTGAAAGATTCAGCAATCAATCTTGCGTTTTGTATTTACTTTGCTTTCGCAGGATTAGGACTCTAAAGCAAAAATCAAGGCAGATTTTTTATCCTGCTCCCATTGGCATCCAACGTAACGTCATAAGGCATACCTTTTGGTTCCTATCCAAGAAAAAAGAGTACAAGGCATCAGCACGGCATTTTATTTTGGTTTCCGTGCAGGAATTTTATTAAAAAATCAAACTTTACTCTCTGCTGTGTTGTGTTTAGAAATCACTCCTGTCAGAGCCACATTTGTTGGATTTTTTTGACAATATTCTAAGGAATTAACTCACCAGCTAAAGCTCTCTCTCTCTCTCTCTCTCTCTCCAATACCTGGAATCATACGTCAACCAATGACTCTTTCCAACACTCTGCCCATATAAGCATATCTCCTTCTAGTTCTTATGCATCGAATTTCAGGGTTATGAACATCAGTTATGGTTTGTCATTTCCTTTATTTGTCATTTTGTTAAATGTCAACCAATTGGCAACTATAAAACGTTGTTAAAGGCAATGATGGAGCTAGGATTTTTTTCCTGGGAGGCCAAAATTTTTCCCAACAAAATTATCTTAATATGTTATTTTCAAGATAATTTTCATCTATTTAAATATATAACATCTAAAACATCAAATGTTAAATCCAATTATAAAGGTATGTGTATTTATAAACATGTAGCATAGCCATAACGAAAATCAAGACAAGAAATAACATTTGATTAAATATTTTATAGCATCATAAATCACCCAAGTTGCACATTACACATAATAAAAGACATAGTAAAAATTCTTCTTCACTTAATATAGAAAGAATCTGAAATGCAAGCTCAGAGGTAATGAGTTCCTTTCCATGCTGACCAAAACTCTGGAAAACAAGTAACTAGTGTGAATACCCGTGCTACGCACGGTTATAATATTATTGAAAAAATAAAAATAAAATGGTGAATAAATAAAGGTAAAAAAACTGTATCAACAAAATTAAAATGTAATATCTGTTTAACAATGTTTGAAATATAATAGAATGTGTATATCATTCAAGAACTGTTTTTTTTTCGGAAGATTGATCCTGAAAAAAAAATAAAAATTTATATTAAAAAAGGGGATAATATATTTCTATAAATGAATGTAATTGAATATTGTAAAAATGAAATACTTACAACTACTGAGCATTCGATTTGATAATCTTATTTGAAGGTACCAACATTTTTAATATTGTGGTCTCTTTTGATTCATCCTGACGCTCAGTCATTGTAGGTATATATCATCGACTTGGGACTCGCTAAGAAGTATTTGGACTCGTCTACTCACCAACACTTTCCATATAGGCGAGCTCTCTGGATTTGTATCCGTGGTTAATGATGCTCCAATTCAAAGGGTTTTGGTATTAGTTGGGTAAAGTGATTGACTTGTTTCGTATATAACCCAAATATTAGCACAAATATCATATTTAAAGATTCTAAATCGTTGTCCTCTTTTGCCTTTTCTTTGATTGTCAGAGGGGACCATCCGCCAGCCCAGAAAATAAAAGGAGAAAAAATAAAGAAAGTAAAAGACCAAATCACCTTGAAAGCAAAGCAAAACATGACAAAAAGGAGGGGGAGAGGGACTGACTTGAAAAATTAAGCCAGCAAAAATATACTTCTAGTTCTCCGCAAGAAGGTTGATTTCCGCTGAAGTCTCTGCGCATAATCTCTTCCATAACTGCTCACAAAAGAAACAAAATCAATACATTTACAAAATCAATAGAGAACCAAAAACAAATAAGAAACTGAGAGAGAGGGTGAGGGAATTAACTTGATAAGTTAATTAAGTCGATCAGTAAAAAGGGTTGGAAAAAAATTATAGACATATTATATTATTGAAAATAATAAAAAATAATAAAAAATATTACAGTATTGGGAATAATATTTGAAATTACAATGAAAATGCCAATATTTAAAGAATACACAGTACCGAAATTTTTTATTTGATGTGAATGACGTTTTAATCGATGTAGCCTGGATTTTGTCCTTCGAATTTGATTTGAGATTTCTCTTTCGTCAGCGCAAACTTGTTGTAGCTTTTCCAACTAGTGTGCGGAATCGTTGCGGTGTATGTTTCGTTTTTTAAGCAAATGTTTCCTCTGCACTATTGCGAGTTTGAAATTTAGTTGTTGTTGAAATGCTTGTAGGCGGACATATTCCATGGTGAAATTACGTTAAAAACTAAGATTGACACCACAAGAAAAATGAAAGAGATAATAGATTCTTATTTTGGTTAACCAAAAAATACGAATGAGCATGCAAGAAAATTGAAGGAGGATGCGATGTTTGGAGGAGTTTTAATTGGGGTGGTTAAATTGGAGGACTCTTAATTGGAGTGAACTCTTAATTAGGGTGGAAAACGTGGGAGGAAATGTGGGGGAAAACGTGGGATGATGATTAGAGGATTTGTAGGAGTGGTTGTAGGATTAGTTAAGAGATAGTTAGAGTGGACTCTTAATTAAAGTGGGAAACGTGGGATGATGATTAGAGGATTTGTAAGAGTGGTTGTAGGATGAGTTAAGAGATAGTAGGAATATTTTAAATTTAAATTTGATTGGTGATAAGGTGGGTTATAACCCACTACTTTTTATGTATTAAAATAAATACAAAAATCTAGAAAAAAGAATGAAAAGTTTAGAAACCATTGAGAGGGTTTCTGCTAAAAATCCCTTCTTGAATATATATAGATATAGATTATCTGTCAAAAACAGCAACAATGGCAAATCTGAGAATTTCTAAACACTAAGGGTCCGTTTGGTTGGACTCTAGGAAAATATTTTCCATCGAAGTTATTTTCCTGGAAAATCACTTCCTTCTCCATAATTTTCCAGTGTTTGGTTATTAAGTGAAAATATTTTTCAAATTCCTTTTTTCATAATTTTCCGATGTTTGGTTTGTCAATGAAAATATTTTCTGATATATTTGTTGATATGTTGCAAATATTTTTCTACTCTCAAAACATTCATTTCATTACAAACTAATTTCTATCCATTATAATCATATTATAAAATATCTATTCATATTATACCATGAATTCTTAAATGGAATTATTAATGGAATCTTGGATTTATTCATAATTTGTTAATTCTTGATGCCGACCAATGGATCTTTCGATTAGCAAAGTCCAAGGTCAAGCATATGAGTATTTGACAGATAATAGCAAACTCGGTTAGAAAATTCATAGCCCACCCTCCCCCTCCCAAAAACCAAAACACTGAACACCAAGACACAAAGCACATGCAGAAAACAGAGGATTTGTGGGTATAGAGCCAGTTGCTGTTACTTCTCAGCTCAAGGTTCTCATGTTTCCATGGCCTGCTTATGGCCATATATCTCCCAGCCTAGAACTAGCCAAGAGACTAACGAATAAAGGATTTTCCATGTAAACCTGTGTCAGAGCCTGTTAAGATGCAACCCCCTCCCAAAACAGCAATGCATGCGACTATTGCAGATC